CCTCCAGCCTGGGCCCGGACTCTGATGCAGAGGGCGAGCCTATGGACACCACGCCGCCCCCGTGGGCCGCCGCCCTGGGCCCGGACTCGGACACGGAGGGTGAGCCTATGGACACCACGCCACCCCCGTGGGCCGCCGGCCTGGGGCCGGACTCTGACACGGAGGGCGAGCCTACCAACACCACGCCGCCCTTGCGGGCCATCTTCCGGTCCCCACGGGCTCGATGCCACACGTGGCACAACTGCCGGACTCAGCCCTACCCCCGACGACGGTGACGCGGTGGACACGCCGCCACCCTTGCGGCCGTCTACCGGTCTCCCCCAGCCCCGTACAAGGCCCATGTCCTTTTGTAGGGGCTTCCTATCCTCCCTCCTACCGATTAAACAAAATCTCTACCAGATCTGTGTGTGTGTCTTGTATTTTCCCACTAAACCCTGTTCTTGCTAATATGCCTCTGGCTGTCTTTACTCTTTCACTCTGCTACAGAGGAAGAACTCACATACACGAGTGATAATGTTTTGAGCCACACCTAACAATGTAACATGCCCCATGCCCCAGTGACTGGGATGTGGAAGTAGCCGCGTTTTATGACTGTGCGTGCTCAACGCGAGGTCTGCGTGCTGAGCGTTTAAGGGATGACAGCCCAGGGGGAGGCAAGTCCAGAGGAGGGAGACCGGGTTGGCTAACGAGGCCCCTTCCCTCTTCTCTGCCACTGCTCTGAGCTCGCCGCAGGCTAGGGAATCCCTGCTGTGACACAGAAAACCACTCTTTTCATTTTGGTTTTTAAACATGTTTAATTCTGTGTCTGTGTGTGTGTGTGTGTGAATGTGTGTACCACTGCCCCTATCGGTCTAAAAGTAACAAAGAAATGCGCGATAGAGCGAACAACTTGCAGTGACCAGAAAGAGTAAACTTTTCCACTAGCCTCTGGGGATATAGATATCCCAAGTGTTTCTATGCAATTGTAGAAAGATTTTGCTGGGAATGTCGCTGGGACCACTCTGAACCATCACGTTAGTTAAGGCAATAAGCCAGGACAGGAGAGCAGCAAAGAGCACCCACGGTGCGTCTCCTACGTATAAGGCCAAGGGGTACAGGCTTTAATTCTACTACCTCACTTCATCTCACCATGACTGACGTGGGGTGACCTTACGCACCACCTTCATACATGAGGAAAAAGTTACTTCAGAATCACTTCCCTTAACGGAAAATAAATAAATGCAAGGACATAAACATTCCTACAATTCCTGCCACCGCCACCCAACTCTTTATGCTCAGCACCCTTTCCATACGAACAGAAAACATAGCTCTAAATGCTACTATTCCATTTCAGATAGACCTCACTCACATCTAAATGCCTAAATGCACTGAAACTCCACCTCCACCTTGACAACAGAGGGGAGCAGTTTCCCCGCGAGCTAGCTGGCCTGCCACCTCAGCAAGCCCACGGGCCACTAGCCCACACCAGCCCCACGTGTCCCCAAAAAGGCGGCTCACTGAACCTGTGACTACACATGCTCTCTGGAGATGGGCAGCCAAGCAGGGCCACCGAGGTGACATCGGCGCGCAGGCACAAAGACCTACTACTGGGCGTGCACCTGCCTCGGCCCCAGCAGGCCAGCCGGGGTGCTCCCTGTGTGGGGCCTCGGATCTGCCCCGCAGCTCACGCAGCCACCCCGGCAGGGCCAGCCCCAGGGCAGAGCACCCGGAGGGCCCCAGCCCGCACTGGTTAGAGAGTCCAGCCGGCCATCTACACCCAGCGGACTCGGGCCACCTACCCAGGTGTTCCAACCCATGGCCACTCCTCTCAAGACCCAAAGACACAGCTAACTCACAGAAACAAACACAAGGAATCAAGAATGAGAAGGAGACAGAGGAATGACTGTGCGCCTAGTGACGGTACGTTGACAAAAATGGACAAAATAGATAGATAGATAGATAGATAGATAGATAGATAGATAGATAGATAGATAGATAGATACATTAGATGGAGAGATTAGATTACACTGATAGATAAGATAGATAGAATGATAGATTAGACAGATCACATAGATACATATAGAGAGATTAGATAGAATAGGCAGACAGATTAGATAGATGATACATGATAGATCAGGTGGACAGATTAGACAGACACCTATAGATACACATAGATAGATGACAGGTAGATAGATTCATAAGATGATAGACTAGATAGACGATATAGATACATATAGATTAGATAGACACATTGATATAGATACATATAGATGACAGATAACAGACAGATAGGTGATAGATTAGATAGTTTGGATAGATAGACACATAGATGACAGTAGATAGATGAGAGTAGAGAGATCAGACAGATAAGATAGATAGATAGACAGACAGACAGACAGGAAAGCATAATACTAAACAAAGCTATCGCTCATAACCAGGAGAGCCACGATGAAAGCACAGAGAAGAACTATGAGCAAAGAAGAGAGAGATCAAGTTGAAGAAGTGCAATAAGGACACCGCTATCAATTATCACAGTAAAGGGAAAGACTTTAAATGCTCCAAACAAAAGACACAAGGTTGAATGAACGGATGAAAACTCAAGACCGCCTACGTGCTCCCTTACAGGAGGCTCACTTGAGATCCAAGCACACAGACAAACTACAAGTTGAAGGGGTGGGAAAAGATACCCTACACAAGTGAAACTGAAAAAGAAAAAAAAAATTAAAGATGGCTTGGTGGGATTAAAGACGGCAGTGTGAGAGGGGAGGCAGAAACCTCCTCCGAAGACCACATACATACATACAATGTGGAAATATTAACAACTACACCAGATCCTGGAAGAGAAGCAGGAGAGAAGGCTGCCGCGGCAAGCTGTCACCTCAAGGTGAAGGGTGACGTACCAAAGCCGTGATCCAGAGGGACCCGGCAGGCCCTTCCCGCACCCGAGCTCACCGGAGGGAGGAAGAGAAATGGAAACGGGGAGGCGGGTGGAGGCCTAGGACTGCTGAACACCCAGCCCTGGAGATCTGCTCTGGGAGCACGAACCTACCTTACGTGATGCTCTGGAGGATCGGTGGGGCTGGAAACCAAAGACGGGCGGAGTACTTGGAGAGACTTGAGATTCCTGCCACTTGCGGAACACAGGGATCCACATCCGGCTGCTGTGGGATGAAAGAAAGGCGGGCAGTCTGAGAGACCTCCTAACAGCGGGAGAGCTGCTAAAGGGGCAAGGGTTGCACAGAGCTTGCCGCTCAGGAGAAAGCACAGGTGCGCAAAACTGTCCGGGTGCAGTCTGCCCAGCAGGTGGGGGAACTTTTAGGAGCTCCGGGCGCTCCACCCCCCTGGCTGCCTACGCAGCTCCAAGGCCCCCCACCGTGATGTGACTGATACACAACATGGCCTGCTGCACCTTCCTCCCCCGCCAGCACCGGCTCGCAAACCGGCTGCCCCCTCCATCGCGCCAGGCCAGCGACAGGACGGCCCCACCTACGGCAGCTACGGGTGCAAAGCACAGAGGCTTCTCCCTGCGTGCTCCGCAAACTGGCCCTGGCAGTGGAGACGGGCACTGCGGCCGGGAAGCAGGAAAGACCTCTTTCCTCCCGCGGGCACCAGCGCCGCTCCCGTGACCCCTGCCTGCCATCACCCCAAGGGCTGAGCAGCTCCAGAGAGAAAAGCTTCTGGGCGCTACAGGGCGCCACCTACAAATACGAAACGTCAAAGTCAAAGGAACCTGGTACCCAGACTCAATCACTCTTTGTGAAAGGGATCTCAACATAAAAATCAGAAACATGCTCATGGAGCTACAGCAAAAAATTGCCCCTGTCTCTTGGGCGTAATTCTCTCTCTCTCTGTCTCTCTAACCAGGAGCAGTTTGGAGGCCTTGTTCTGAGAGGGACGCTGGGACAGCCCAGCAGGAACGGGCAGAGCTCTCAGATCCACCCCGGCCAGTGCCAGGGCAGCCCCACACGGGGTCTGACCGAACTGCAATGGGGGGGACGCCGCACATGTAACTCCACAGGAAATAACAGTGCCGCACGCCAGCCTTCCCATTAATGGCTAGTGGCTAGGTGGCTCCACCGATAACCAGGTGATGTCCACATCCCGGGCCTTACCTCCGTGGCAACCTTTTTTCCCTGTGAACCTTGAAAGCAGCACATGGAAAGATACTACCAGTCTCCACCATCTCACCTCTCAGTTTAGGCTCGATGTTCCTGTATCACATCTTCTCCTCTTCGTTCCAGTTTTCTCGGCGGGTTGGTGTTCTGAGAAAAAAAAAAAAAAAATTGACTCAGAACTGGAATGAAATGGCAGGGGGTATAAGATTCTGTTTAAACACCATCAGTAGAACAAAGACATCCTACAGTATGGGAGGATAGATTCATAGATGACATATCCGATAAGGGGTTGACATCTAAAATACGTATTAAGTGCTCACGCACCTCCACACACAAAAAGCAAATAATCCAATTAAAAAATGGGCAGAGGATCTGAACAGACACTTCTCCAAAGAAGAAATTCAGGTGGCCAACAGGCACATGAAAAGATGCTCCACATCGCTAATCATCAGAGACATGCAAATTAAAACCACCATGAGATATCACCTCACACCAGTCAGGACGGCCACCATCGGGAAGACACACAACAACAGACGTTGGCGAGGATGTGGAGAAAGGGGAACCCTCCGACACTGCTGGTGGGAATGTAAATCTCAGTTCAACCATTGTGGAAAGCAGTATGGAGGTTCCTCAAAAAACAAAAAAGTACAAATACCATTTGACCCAGGAATTCCACTCCCAGCAATTTACCCTAAGAATGCAGGAGCCTAGTTTGAAAAAGACATATGCACCCCTATGTCTATAATAGGACTATGTACAATAGCCAAGAAACGGAAGCAACCTGAGTGTCCATCAGTAGATGAATGGATAAAGAGGTGGTACATATGCACAAGGGAATATTATTCAGCCATAAGAAGAAAACAAACCCTACCGTTTGCAGCAACACAGATGGAGCTAGACGGTATTATGCTCAGGGAAATGAGCAGGATGGAGAAAGACAAGCATCAGATGATTTCACTCATCTGTGGAGTAAAAGAACAAAGACAATACAGCAGCAGACTCACAGGACCCTAGAGTGGACTAACAGTTACCAAAGGGAAAGGGACTGGGGAGGATGGGGGGGAGGGATAAGTGGGAAAAAGGGGCATTACGGCTCGCACACATAATGTAGGGGGTGGGGCGGTGGGGGTGCCGGGGCCCGGGGAAGGCAGTATAACACAGAGAAGACAAGTAGGGATTCTACAGCATCTTACGACGCTGATGGACAGTGACTGTAATGGGGTATGGGGTGGGGGGGACTTGGTAATGGGAGGGGGAAGTCTAGTAACCATGTTGCTCATGTAATTGTACTTTAATGGTCGGTCTCACACACACACACAGAAAATCACAACGAGCTATCACCTCACACCAGTCAGAATGGCTAGTACCAAAAAAAAAACAAACAAGAAATAACAAGCGTTGATGAGGAAGTGGACAAAGGGAACCCTCGTGCACTGTTGGTGACCATGTAAATTGGTGCAGCTACTATGGGAAACAGTGTGGAGGTTCCTAAAAACATCCATAGCGGTATCATATGACCCAGCGTTCTTTTTCATACACAGCACTGGAACTCCCTTCAGGATACCGGACCTGTTTCCAATGCATACAACACCAAGCAATTCTCCAACACCAGCAGGGTTTCTGAGAACTCAACTCTGAGGATATCTGCCTGGACGCAGCACCAGATTCCCCAGGGTAAGGTTTCTATCCTCAAGACTGCCCTCCACCCCAACTCCAGAGCCCGGTTGCCAGGCCCATGCAATTAGCCTGTGCTTCCCACCTACAAACAGGCTAGGACTGGAAGTTCCAACGACCTCCCCCTTAGGTCTGCCCAAGTTGCTAGGGTGCCTCAGCAGCTCAGGAAAACACGTTTACCAGTTTAACAAAGAGTACCATAAAGGACACAACAGCACGCGCACACACACACACACACACACACACACAACAGCGTGCACGTGCGTATACACACACACATGGCAAGGTCCCAAGTAAAGGAGCTTCTATCCTCCCGGGACTTGGGGCCTGGCATGGTGGCATGTGCAGGCGACCTGGTTCCCCAAGCATGGAAGCTCTGACAGAGAAGCAGGAGATGAGAGAGAGAGATGTGCTCTTCTCATAGGGTTTTGTGAGGGCTTCACTGCAGAGTCATGACTGACTAAATCGCTGGCCATTGCTGATTCAACCTCCAGCCCTCATCCCTTTCCTCTTCCTTCCCTGGGGGCTGGGGGCTGAAAGTTCCCACCCTCTAACCACAAGCCTGGTGCCCCTGGCAACCAGCCTCTACCCTGGGCTAGGGCCCCAAAGCCTCTGCATTAACCTAACAAGACACCCATTGGACAGTTATGGCTCAGAAGGATTTTCAGGAACTGTGGATGAGGAGCAAAAATACCTAGGAAATGTATTTTGGTCATCTGAATTACCAAATATTTACTTCTTATCAATCATTACATCACAACAGGTGTCCCCAGATACCTATAATTCCTGCAGGGACTTCTCTCTCCCCAAGAGAGGCACAGAGCTCCCAACTTTCACTATCATTTCCTTCCTTCTCATGACATTGATCTGCACCAAAGACGATCCCTTTCAGGAGAATAAAGTCAAGGCTTCCGGCATATGCCAAGGCCAAGGAGGCCCTCCTCCCCAGGGACATGAGCAGAGAGATGGGAGAAATGGCTTCAGGAGTCTGTTTTCCTGTCAGCCGCTCTCCAATCGCCCATCCTCAGCTGTCACCTCACCACCCAGCCTTACACACAGGGGCCTATGAAGAACAAAATCTTGGAGTCAGAGCAGCTGAACAGCTGCCGTGTGTGCTCAGCTTTGCAGTGCAAGGGGCTCCGCTCCTCTCAGGGTTCAGATTGGAAAAACCCAACAGAGAAGAGGTGGCCCAGCGACTCCCCGTCGCCATGTCGAATGGGGCAGTGCAAGCTCCACTTCCGCCGGAGATGCTTCCTGGCTGTCTGAGCACTTGCAAGGCAGCACGATAAGGTGTCGTTGGGGGGGCAAATATCCCAAACCTAGAATTTTAATTTCCTGAGTATGAGCAGACTTTCTGCTGCTCTGACTACAATGCAGCACAAAGAATGTCTAAGTAGCAGGTCCCACTTCTGAGTGACAGCACCCACGTCACCCGTTCACAGCTGCCTCTGGTGACCAAGATGAGAAGTAGCTGGATGTTACTAGGAAGTTTTGACTGTCAAACGAAAGTGCAGAACTTTTCGAGACAATTTGTCAATCTACTCTCTGCATTCACAGTGACACAGAGCAGGGAAATGGGATGAGGGTCATGCCACTGTAAAATATACTCAGCCTAAAAAAGCCCCCTTTATACTTAAACTTCATCTACATGCTGTTCTGCTTCCAGCCCCTCTATCAATTAAGGAACATTGTAACCACGATGGGAGAGAGACCTGAGAAGGGCAAATGAAACTAGGATAAAAAATGCTGAGATCTGGATGAACACAGTCCCCTGAATAACTCTACTCTTAAGACAAAACTTCAAAGGAATTAGGAATCAGCTGTATGCAGCATGCCTTACGCCCAGAGCTACCCAAAAGGCCCTTAACTGCGCCTCCTCTCTCAGGTCACCTCCACTCCCATCTGGGTGTGTACATTGTCTGACAGTAAATGAACCTTCTTGTTGCACAAGCCAACTGGACTTGGCTCTGAACTATTTACCCTAAGACAAAAACCCTCTGACCTCCACGTCCAGAGGTAAATGTCTCTGTCACTTTGCTACTTTATCCAGCTTTCTAGTTTTATAATCCTTTTCTCTCTCCCTGTTTTATTTAAGGCCAATGGGGAAGCAGTAGTTCTTAGGACATAATCTCACTCCATCCAGTGCTCCATGGCTCCCCAAATTCTGGGACTGTAGGGATATAATTCTCACGCCATGCAGATCAAGTGGACACCGGATGCCAGGAGTTGCCAAGGAATATGCCCTGTGCCAAGCAGCAATTCAGTGAACTTTTTTTTCTCCCTCTGCTCTGCCTTGCTCTCTACTGCCTGCACAGCTGCTGACATTCGCTTTCTACTCTTGCTTTAATGAATTCCTTTCTTCCTGGCGCACATTTGACCTGGTCGAGAATTCTTTCCCTATCAGAGTCAAGAACTGTCCCTGATTCGGGGTGAGGTTTCACCTAGTACCCAGGGAGAGACCTGCCCAGCAACACCAGCATTCAGCTGCTGCTGTATAAGAGAGGGACCCACATGGGCTGAGTCCACACCCACAGCCACGTTCCTGGAAAAGCAGGTGAGGCCAGGCTTCCACTCCTAACCCAGGGCCTTGGGCTCCTGAATTCTCTCCAATTCCCCTTTCCCGTCCGTCCCTGGACAGTGTCTGCCACTGCCGCACCTTCTATAGCACTGCAGTCCATCTGGCTCTCTCCAGGTCTCCCCCAAGGACTCCAAATAAAAATACTTGCTATAATTCCTATTTTAATGAAAAAATTCAATCCACGATCTATAGAGGCAACAACAAAATATTTCCTAGTACGAGCTACCGCCCGCATCTATATTACTAATGCTAGCCATCACTACCAATCTCATATTCTATGGACAATGGGCTATTACAAAAATGTATGATACCATGGCATCTATCATCATTACCACAGCCATAGCCATAAAACTGGGAATAGCCCCATTCCACTTCTGAGTTCCAGAAGTAGCACAAGGAACCCTGCTGTCATAGGGCATACTACTATTAACCCGACAAAAAATCACACCCATCTCAGTTCTGTGTCAAATTTCACCCACAGTTAACATAAACTTAACACTCTCAATTTTAATTGGAGGCTGAGTGGGTCTAAACCAAACACAATTACAAAAAATTACAGCTTACTCCTCAATTGCCCACACAGGTTGAATAATAACAACAACATATAACCCAACTATTACTATTCTAAATCTCCTAATGTATATTATAATGACCCTATCAATATTTGTAATGCTAGTACACAACTCATCGACAACAACCTTATCTTTGTCTCACCTATCAAGTAAGACACTGCTAACTACAACCATTATGCTCACAATCCTAACTATCACTTGGAGGCCTTCCACCATTATCCAGATTTTTACCAAAGTGCATGATCATTCAAGAACTTAGCAGAAACAACAACATAATATTGCCACTAATAGCAGCAATAGCTCTACTAAACTTATATTTTTATATGCGCTGACTTACTCCACAACACTAACAATATTCCCAATAACCAACAACATAAAAGTGACAATTTGAAACTATGAAACACATAAAATTAGCCCCACCCCTAATTATTCTATCCACAATAAATACTTCCACCAATTCCGACCATATCAATTCTAAACTAGAAATTTAGATTACACAGACCAAGACCCTTCAAAGCTCTAAGCAAGTAAAAAACACTTAATTTCTGATCCTAAGGACTGTAAGACTCTATCCTACATCACTTGAATGCAAATCAAACACTTTGATTAAGCTAAATCCTCACTAGATTGATGGGATACAAACCCATGGAACTTTAGTTAACAGCTAAAAACCCTAATCAGCTGGCTTCAATCTACTTCTCCCACAAAAAAAAAAAAAAAGGTGGCGAGAGAAGTCCCGGCAGAATTGAAGCTGCTTCTCTCAATTTTCAATTCAGTATGTAAAACACCTCAGGACTTGGCAAGAAGAGGACTTTACCTCTATCTTTAGATTTACAGTCTAATACTTATTCAGCCACCTTACCCATGTTCATCAATCGTTGATTATTTTCAACTAATCACAAAGACGTCGGCACATTATACCTTCTTTTTGGCACTTGACCTGGAATAGTGGGACCTGCTCTAAGCCTCCTTACAGTGCTGAACTAGGCCAGCCTGGGACCCTCTTAGGTAGTGAGCACATCTATAATGTAAGCATAACTGCCCACGCCTTTTTAATAATTTTCTTTATGGTGATACCTATTATAATAGGGGGCTTTGGAAACTGACTAGTGCCTTGAATAATTAGTGCCCCAGACATAGCATTTCCCCATATAAATAATAACATAAGCTTTTGACTCCTCCCTCCCTCCTTTCTTCTTCTCCTAGCATCCTCTACAGTCGAAACAGGAGCTGGAACCCGGTGAACCGTATATGCCCCCCTTAGCAGGTAATTTAGCACATGCAAGGGCCTCAGTGGATTTAACCTTTTTTTCTCTTCACTTAGCAGGTGTCAATTCTAGGGGCTTTAGTAACTGCATCACAACTATTATTAACACAAAACCTCCCACTATAAGCCAATATCAAACTCCACTACTTGTGTGATCAGTTCTAGTTACAGCCGTACTCCTACTACTGTCTCTACCATGTTCTAGCTGCCAGCATTACTATGCTTTAACAGATCTCAACCTAAACACATTTTTTGATCCTGCTGGGGGAGGGGATCCAATTTTATATCAACACTTATTCTGATTTTTGGTCACCCCGAAGTATATATTTTAATCCTTCCTGGCTTTGGAATCATCTCTCATATTGTAACCTACTATTCTGGGAAAAAATAACCTTTTGGGTATATGGACATAGTCTGGGCAATAATGTCAATTGGCTTTCTAGGCTTCATCATATGAGCATATACATTCACAGTAGGCATAGACGTTGATACACAAGCCTATTTTACATCCGCCACTATAATTATTGCAATTCCAACAGGTGTGAAAGTATTCAGTTGATTAGCAACTCTGCACGGTGGAAATGTAAAATGATCCCCGGCCATATTATGGGCCCTGAGCTTTATTTTCTTGCTTACAGTAGGGGGCTTAACTGGTATTGTACTACTTAATTCACCATTAGATATTATTCTTTATGATACTTACTATGTAGTACATTTTATTTATGTGCTCTCCATAGGTGCGGTTTTTGCTATTATGGGGGGATTTGTACATTGATTTCCTCTATTTTCAGGATATACCTTCAACCCTACATGAGCAAAGATTCACTTTACAATTATATTTGTAGGTGTTAATATAATTTTTCCCCCCTCAACATTTTCTCAGACTTTCAGGAATACCACATTATTCTGATTACCCAGATGCTTACACAACATGAAATACTGTGTCGCCCAGAGGATCCTTTATTTCACTAACTGCCGTTAAAGTTTTTATAATCTGAGAAGCTTTAGCTTCTAAATGAGAAGTGCACATAGTAGAACTAACTAATACCAATCTTGAATGATTACACAGCTGCTCCCCACCTTACCATACATTTGAGGAGCCTGCCTTTGTCAACTTAAGCAAACAAGGAATCAAACCACCAAAAAATGCTTTCAAGCCAATATCATAACCTCTTTCTCAACTACTGAAGTATTAGTAAAATTTACATAACTTTTTCAATGTTAAATTATAGGTCTAAGTCCTTCATACTTCCATAGCATGCCCCTTTCAACTCAGGCTAAGGCCTTGGGAGCCACAAGCCTAGAGGGAGAATGAACTCGATGCTACCTGACATTTACCCCAGGAAACTGACCCTCTGGCTGGGCTTCCCGGTACTCATCAGGGTCTGTAAGTAACGCCAAGGAGAGGGGGGCCAGGAGTTTATGTGTGCTTCAGGCCTCCTCACCTCCTCTGTCCAAAAGCTACCCTATGTTTTGATAGCACCATGGGACAAAATTTTAACTCCTATACTGTACTTCATTATTTATTAATTTTCTAATAGCATGTACCAGATTGGGTTGCATCAGCAAGCAGGAATGACCACTTCACTAAGTAGCCTGCCTAGACAGCTGCACGACAGAAACTACCCACTCCTACACCCACGGATGCATGTATATTAGAGCAGCCCAAGTTCACCTCCACAGAGTGCCACAATACACGGTGTGTCTCTCCAACACTGACCCTTGTCAAAGGACCTTAATTTTTGTTCTTAAAAAAACTTTACACCAAAATACATACAATAAAATGCACAAATCGCAAAGCTCGATGAAGTCTGATGTATGTACACACATCACCATCGCCTAGATCAAGATATCAAATATTCTCATTTTCTCACCCCTCACCTACTTCAAAGACATTTTTGCCAAGGAGGCATACAGATGGCCAACAGACATAAAAAGATGCTCAATATCACTCATCATCAGGGAAATGCAAGATTAAATCCTATGAGATGTCACGTCGCATTAGTCAGACTGTCCAAAATCCAAGAGACAAAAAATTACAGGTGTTGGCAAGGATGTGGAGACAACGGAATGCTGGTGGGACAACGGCTGCAAGTTGATGCAGCCACCACAGAAAGCAGGAGGGAAGTTTCTCAGAGAACAGCTGTGCTCTCTGTAATGCTATGGGATGAGGAAGGACAATGAATGGTGGCTTGCTAAGGATGCTAAAAGGACTTACCTACCTGCCTCGTGTGACCCTGAAGGTAGGGAACAGCAGATGTTTGCAGAAATGGATCAAGTAGAACTTTCATGAGTTGACTTCAGACAGACGAAGTTGTTCCCTGTGGAGACCTTATAGGGAAAACAAAAATGTCACTAAGAGGGTGAACCTCACCCACTGGGCTTCCCCACTAAGAAGGGACAGTCCACTACCAGATGGCTTTTTCGGAGGCAGGGGCAGTGGGTCACAGGGGAAGCCCTGATTTGCAGGCAACCTGCCAGGTGGCAGGGGGTGGGGAATGATGCTCTCACCTATGACTATGCATGCCCCAGGGGCCTCCCAGCTGAGGCCAATCTCCCCAGCAGCCTGCCCCAGTCTCCCCACCTGACTTCTCAGTTACGGAAAACCAGCTGCCTTCCTCAAGCTCTCCTAGTGCACAGGCACCCAGAGACACAAACACTGTCCCAGGCCGCACAGTGCTCTCACACAACACCACACGTGCAAGAGCTACCGCACACACACAGACACACACACGTGCGCGCAGAGGGCAGCAGACACCACGGCGACACACTCACCAGTGGGCCAAGCTGCCACCACGCAGCCGCAGGTACCTTGACACACTCCCTGGACTACTGGCCTACTCCCGCGCTGACCCGTTTGGGAGCACAGGAGACCCCCCCGAACCCCGCGGATGCACCCTCGCAGCAGCCATGCCCGCGTACCCACGGACCAGACATCCGAACCATTACCCGAAGTCAGAGAAGCTGGCGGGCCTGGGGAGCTCCTGGCTGAGACCCAGTCACCTTCCTGGCTGGGTAGGTGCATGCGCTGCCCATTGCTTTCCAATGCCCACCCACAGCTTTCCACTTTCCTCCCAAGGACCATGCAACACCCCCAAACTCCCTGATAGAAAAGCCAACATGGGGGTGGCTACTTACTATGAACTGAGGTTGCTGCAAGGCGGCGAGGCCTGCATGGGAACCAGGGAGCCGGGTCCCTGGCAGGCGGGCCCCTGCTGGAGGTGTTACCAGTCTGAGGGATCTCGCAGTGGAGGGCCATGAGCGCTGGCGAAGGCAGCAACGTCGGCATCAGCGGAAGAAGGCATTGGAGGGCGGTGGTAGCGGCAGGCATCTAGGGCGGGTGTCAGCGGGAGGCGCCGGCAGGCAGGGCAGGAGAGAGGCGGGCTCCAGGACGGGTGGCTGCGCTTTGGTGGAGAGAAGCGGCGATGGAGGCCAGTGGCTTTGCCTGGCGCGGGGGGGCATGCTGGGCGTTGGCTGCGGGCCGACTCCGTCCCCTTACGCCGCTGCCCCTCCGCCCCCAGAACCGACACCATCGCCAGCCATGGACGCTGCCCTCCCACTGCCAACGCCCCCGTCGCCTTGCTCTCGTCTCTGGCTGCGCACCTGCCGACGGCAGTCTCGGAAGTCCGCCTCGGGCACAGACACCCGCGCAGCGGACGCCACGGCCCACCATGGAGCGCAGCCTGTCCACGCTGCCGCCCACTGGAGACCCTGCTCCCCGCCACCGCCTCTGCCACCTCTCACGGCGCACCTGCAGACGGTGGGCTGGACCCCGCACCTGGCCGCAGAACCCACCACCGAGGAGCAACAGCCCGCAGCTTCCCGCAGCGGACTCCTTCCCCGCCCCATCCTTCCCCAACCCGAAGCCGCCTGCCCCCTGGGGATGGCTGCTTACGGTGAGCTGCCGCTGCGAGGCCAGGCCTGCGTGAGAAGGGCGCAGGGACCCTGGCAAGGTGGGGCCCTGGAGCCGGCGGTAGGCAGCCGCTGTTGGAGGGCTCCGGCCGGCGGTGCAGGGCTTTGGCGAGCGACGGCGACATCAGCGGGAGGAGGCCTTGGCCGGCAGGGACGGTATGAGCGGGAGGCACTGGCGAGCGGCGGGCGGGATCAGGCAGGAAGCTTCCTTCTCTGCAGCAGGTGATGGCGCAGCTGGAAGGACACGTGCCGGGCAACGGAAGTAGGTGGCGCTGGCCGGCGGGAGGAGCGTGCGCAGCGGGCACCGGAAGTGGGCGGCGCTGGTCGGCGGGACGAGTGTGCGCAGCCTTGGTTGCGGGCAGACCCCGCCCCCCTCGGGCGCTGCCCCCAAACCCCAATGACAGAGCACGCGCATCAATCCCACACTCCCCTTTCTGTGCAGCATCCATGTAAAATAAAAGATGGTACTCACAGAACCCAAGAATGGACTACAGTTGCCAAAGGGAAAGGGACTGGGGAGGATGGGTGGGAAGGGAGGGATAAGGGGGAAAAGGGGGCATTACTATTAGCAGACATAATGTAGAGAGGGGCACGGGGAGGGTTGTACAACACAGAGAAGACAAGTAGTGATTCTATAGCATCTTACTACGCTGATGGACAGTGACTGTAATGGAGTATGCGGGGGGACTTGGTGATAGGGGGAGTCTAGTAAGCAATGTTCCTCATGTACATTGTAGATTAATGACACCGAAATTAAAAAAACAAAGACGGCATACAACAAAAATTCAGGAGCTCAAAATAAGTTAGCAGAAACAATATTCTGGGAAAATCTTGGTAGCCGGAGTTCAAACTTCATGTGGGAGGGTAAAATATGGGAACAGGAGACTAGACAAGTATACTGGACACAGACTCACTCACTCACTCACTCACTCACGGACTCACTCACTCACTCACGGACTCACTCAACTCTCACTCACTCACTCACTCACACACACTCACTCACTCACTCACTCACTCACTCTTCCCCTAGAGAAACCTAGTCAACAAAAAGGAAAGGTAACTTAAAGGCCATTAGCTTGGGGTTGGTTTGGCCCGTCCCCACAGCTCAGCAAGGCAGGACGTGGCTCTAATAGGGCAGGGGGATGTTATCAGGCCAGCCCAGAAGGCTTGGGAACAGCTCTCTCAGGAAGCCAGCTCCACTCAGACAAGGCACACGGACGCCCACACATGTCAACAAGCATCCCTCGGAGACTTCAAGCCCCAGTTCAGTCCCTGCCCTCGGAAAGTATGATCTACAGGGAGAAGTCTCAACAAGTCCTGACCTGGGGTGTGGACAGGCCACCAGGAAACTCAGAAGGGTGTCAGAAGGAAGTGAGGTCTGAGCCGGGCTTGAGGAATTTCTCCAAGTGAGACTCCAGGCAGAAGGGAGCCTGGACACAAGTGGTGTGTGTGTGGTGGGGCAGGGGCAGAGGCTACCACAGGACGTGGGCAGCTGTGAAGGGACTGAGGGACCCACTTTCAGAGGCCTCCAAGCCCAAGAGCGGACTCCCTTGGCCCAGTGGACAACAGGAAGGGAGTGGTATTTACTGCACACCCCTGGCTTGGCACCACCAGCAGTCACCTCACTGAGTTGGACGCTCCCCCCTACACCCAGCTGCCTTGACAGAAAACACTGCTTCCTTGTTAGGCTGGATCCGACAAGGGTCAGAGAGGGCAGGTCTCAGGGAGAAGGCCTCACAGCAAAGCGGCTGAGCCACCCATATGTGAGGAGAGCAGGACAGGAATGGTCAGCAGAACATAGGAGGCCCAGAACACCCCTGAGAAAGGCCGCTCAGCAAGGGTGCACCCCAGAGTGCACAAAAGACATGGGGAGAGAAGGTCACAGGCATTCAGTCAGCCCAAATAGCAATCCATCAGCCACTCAACCCCAGGAGGGCAGGGCCCCACACAGTCCCCCTAGGGATGACACAGGGAGAGTCCTAGCATCTCGGGTGACCCCACAGCCCTTGTCCTCTACCACTGCAAGCCCTGACCACATACATGTATGCCCAGCCTCGGTGTCCTAGACTTGAGCATAAGGATGGTCTTCGTGATCACTGCATTCCAGGTCCCCAGGACAGGGGCTGACACACAGTGGGGGCTCAGCAGGTATCTGATGAGTAAATGAACCCAAGTTAACTTCTTAAAGGCTGAGGCTGAGTTGTTCCTTTAACAATTAATTGAGAACCCACTGTGTGCCGGACATGTTATTGGTGCTTGCTACATAACCATGAGCAAAAGAGCACAAGAGCCCTGCCCTCCTGGGGCTGACAGCCCAGTGGCCACATTCACCTTTGTGTCCGCATCACATCACATGTCAGAGCATCCCCACCCCCTATGCCAGGCTCACTGAAGCAGAATGAATGGACTGTGGGAGGCGGGGTGTCCCAGAACTGGGTTGAAGCCCTGGCTCTGCACTGACTGGTTCTGAGCCCAGCTAACACCAACTGTCATCAGACGCAGGCGGTAAGCAGCATGCAGTGCACCAGAAGCCCCATCCGCATCCACACTCCCCACCCCCACCCCCCCTGCGGCCACTGCTGCCCTGCCGGCTTCCTCCCCCTGTACAGGACTGAGTATCTGGACCTTTCCATCAGTCAGGCTGCTTCAGACAACACTGATACCCAAAACATGGCTCTCTCAGGAAGCCAGCTCCACTCAGACAAGGCACACAGACACCCACACATATCAACAAGCATCTCTTGGAGACTTCAAGCCCCAGTTCAGTCCCTGCCCTCGGAAAGTATGATCTACAGGGAGAGAAGTCTCAACAAGAGAACCTTAGCCCCCCAGGAACCCAGCTGCACCCTGCAGTCCTGGAAATGATGCTGTCATTGCTCTCCTCAAGGAGACATTCTGTCCCACCACTTGGACAGTCATGTTCACAGTCTAGTCCTGGAACTCCCAGAGCCACAACCACCTGGAAGCTAGTTAACAATCCTGCTTCCTGAACTCCAGCCGCACAAAGACCTCCCAAAGCAGAAGACCACCCTCCACAGGCCAGCCTCACTCCTAGGCCAGGTGCCCTCATGGCCACGAGATGGCTGCAGCTCCAGGCCTCAAAAGTGAACAACATTCTCAGAGGAAAATGACCATCCTTCTTCCCTCTTAGGCATGTACGGTGCCCACTCCTACCACCAATGCCTCTAATGTCTCATTGGCAGGAACTAAGTCACTCAACATGCTCATACCTCAGCCAATCCCAGGCAAGGGAGCAGACCCACGAAGCCAGAGCCCAGGGCCACTGTCTCGACAATGGGTTTCAACCCCAGGCAAGTTTGCTATGGATTCAGTGTGACCAAAGAAAATGACAGCAAAACGTTCTTGGGGTGAAAAGGTTATACCCAACTTTATTTCCAGGTGGCAAGTCAGTCACTAAAAACCCATTCACTCAGAGCAAGTCTGCATGCAGCAAGCCGATCTCTGCCTCTGGGCTCCTCTGTCCACACAGCTGTCCACTGAGCCCCTCTGTCCACACAGCCATCCTGCACAGCCGTCCTCCAGGCCTCTCTGCACAGTCGTCCCCCAGGCCTCTCTGCACAGTTGTCCCCAAGGCCTCTCTGCACAGCCGTCCCACACAGCTGTCCTCTGGGCCTCTCTGCACAGTCATTCCACACAGCTGTTCTCTGGGCCTCTGTCCTCGGCACTGCCACCACTCCAGCCTCTGCTCTGCTCTCCTGCAGCCTTGCAGCCCTGCCACCCTGTCACACCCAGAGCACTGGGCGGAGCTCTTTATATAGAGTCAACAGCCATGTATTGCCCACAGGTGTGCAGTGAGCTTAGTCAACAAGGGCCAGGTGAGAATCCTGGCCACAGGAACTCTCATTTTATCCACAGCCACCAACAGTGAAGCAGAAGGCAGGCAACTGGAGAGGCTGAGAACTGAGCAAACCTGGGCTAGTCTGGAAAACAGTGAGTGCAGTGGAAAATGCTGGACTGACAACCAGAGGGCCCCTGGATGTCCCCAGGCCACCTGACAACAGCAGCCCCAGAAGTAAACACCAGTCCTCGCAGGACACCACTTCTCAGGGACAGCCACCACCTGTACTTTGGCCCTCACTTCCATTCCAGAAGGCCTTTGGCCTCACTTCTCTAAGCCTGTTCCGACTGCTGAGGCCCCTAGAGAAAGTCCTGTGGGCCAGTTCAGCAAATGGCACACCAAGCGTGAGCCTGACAGCTCATGACCACACAAACACAGCCCTCTGTCCGCTTGACACCAACCACCTGGGTGAGGAGACAAGGTGCACACTGAGATGGACAGTGTCGGGGAGAAACAGCCCTGAACTGGGAGATGGGGGAGGGGACGACAACACCCGCCAGAGACAGTGGCTGAAGGCTCACCCCGCACGGGCATCTGACCTGCACTTACAGGCGGGGGTGCTGGTTGGGGTTTTTCCTTCCCTGTCATCTGGCCTTTACCCTAGAAGTTTGGCACTATTATTACAGGTTCATGATCCCTTATCCATAATTTTTTAAATCCAGAACTCTCTAAAAACCAAAAGCTGATTTTGTTGTTAATTGATTGGGCAGCAGAGCTTCAACTGAACCAACACAAGACTACGACCTATCTACCCCTTCTGCAATGACTGCTCATACGTTTTGAATCAGAAATAGTGACATGTTTTACGCAGTGTTGCCCCTAAACCCCACCAGCAGCACCATATAATCCAGTATATGTTCCACATTCTGAAAAGTTCTGCATTCAGAAACACATCTGGCCCCAAGGGTTTCAGAACAGGGACTGGGGGTGTGTATTACTACTCTACACAAGATAAAGTAACTCTCTTAGGAAAAAGCAGAACCGCACTTGGAACTAAGCAACTCAACTCACAGGCCAGAGCTATGACCCACTGTGCTTCCATCACTCACCCACTGGTGATTTTAAGGAAGACACCCCCCACCCCACCCCATAGACCTCATCTGGTCTTCTCATCCATAAAATGGGGAGCTTGGACTAGATCAGCGGGTTTCAAATGTGGTTTAAAGCCGATTGGCCCTTCCTTCAAGGACACCTTAAGGAAAAGTGTCACTGCTCCAGTGAGCATGTTCGCAGCAGGGTTCCTCAACAGCACAGTTTGAAAACTGCTATGCAGTGATCTTTTAGGGCCATCTGGTTCTAACATTATATGGTTGTCCTCTCGAGGCAAACAGCCTTTCCCATGAACGAAGGATACCTGGAAAGAACTTGAACCAGACCCTGACGGACAGATAGGCTTCTGACCTGCAGAGAGGACTCCAGAGCCAAGCAGCATGCATGCAGGTCGGAAGACCGTAAGTAAGGTGTGTGAGAGGTTCCGGGAGGCCAGGCCAGCCAAGGGGGTTCCTGGGCCAAGGTGACAGGAGGACGTACATGCTGGAAAGGTTGGCTGATCAGCCAGATGAGTGTCAGGAATCCTCTTCCCTACCCCCTCGGAGCCTGAAATTCCTCCAAACAGGAGGCCAGGGGACAAGTTGGGCAGTCCCGGCCCCACTGTGTGCAACCACAAATTCACAGTCCTGTCCTCACTATAGCA